GCAGCACGCATAAAAAGGAAATCTATTCTATTATTGTAACACATACATTATTTTTTCTAGTTATAGAAAAAATATCGTAGTTATAGAAAAAATATCATTATTTTTTCTAGTTATGAATAAATATCGTGCTCAAATGCATAGCCATGTTAGATGTACATTTAATACTAAGCAAGTAATTAAACAGATCTGAACAGAACTAAACAGAATTAAACAGAACTTTTGTTTCCACCGAATAAACTATCACTTACTTATAAAATACATTTGGCAGCACGCATAAAGAGGAAATCTATTCCATTATTGTAACACATACATTGTGTCACTTTTTTTTTTGTTATAGATATGAATAAGTATCGCGTTCAAATGCATAGCCATGTTGGATATACACTTATCTATATCAATTATTATTCTTGCAAATTTGCCTATTTTGCCTTCGTCTAACTTGTCTGACTTTTTTTGGAAGAAAAGAAGATTTATTTGTAGTTGATGAACTGTCGATATTCCTGTAACAAAAAAATATATCATTTCTTCTCGCATATGAAATAATTATTGTGGTATTATATTACGTTAATATACACTGACCACAGGTATTGAATTCTTTTTGAGTACAGAAGTGCTACTTCAATAAGTAATCAATATGAAAAATCTTTACGAGTCTCTATTCAATAGCCAAACTAGGAGCGTCCAAAAGCTTTACACTTTTATACTTGAAAAGAATTCAATATCTGTACATTACTGTAGATTACATTATGCATCATATTAATACATTAATAGAGCATAAAAACAACTTAAAAGTTTTAACTTCAAGTTCAATAATAAAGTAATTATAAATGTAAATATTTCTGTATTAGTAATAAGTTCAGCATGAAAAATGTTTGCACATTTTGCAAAAAATCTTATAAAAACTATATGTTTACATGTTCTTGTTAATCAGGTTTAATAACGTTTATAGTACTATCTAATTCAAAAGTTTGTTCTATTTGAGATCTTAACGTTGAAATGTGTGTGAAACCTACTGTGATACCAAAGAGAAATCCGAGAGCAGTCATGCTACATGATTTTTTTGCAATGTCTAAACGCACATTTATTTTTCAATACATGGAACATATTTCGATATTCTGTATCTATATACAATTGTATAGACATTTATAAAATAACATTTGTAGCAGTATTAAAAAGTGAATATTAGGCGTCACAAAAAAATCATGGCATAGCCGCTTTTTTCCTGGTATCTAAACCTAAGTGGTCAGATAATTTTCTTTTGATACGTATTAGAAATTTTAAATTAAATATCAAAGTACGAGTAACTTACATTTAAATGTTAAGATAAAAAATAAAAGAAAAATTTTGGTTTGTATAGTGCAACTTTTATTGTACCTTATTAACAGAGATATGTAAACATAATTCAATGATTCTAATTTTATACACATAAAATAAAATAAAAATTTAATAAAGCATTATACAAGATAATGTTAATTAAGAAGTAGTTTTCAATTTGCACAACTTTTAAAGATTAATTTTTATGTATTCAACCATTTGTCATATTATAATTTAAGAAATAATTGTTTTATTTGTATTCACAAATTAGATACATACGTCTTATCCCTCAAAGGAATCCTCTTTTTTGGAAGTACAAGTCTTGGAAGAGAAATTTTGACTTCTTTCATATTGGTAATAGAAACGTGATTATTAACTTCTTTCTTTTCTAAAATTTATATTGTAACATTTAATAATCTTTTAATTAATATTTCATAGGATATCCATTCGTATCTTATTCAGGGTTGCTCAAAAGGAAACGGTCACATATCTTATACATAATAGATTTTAGAAAAAAAAATGTTTTAGACAAAAATTGTAAAGTTCAAAAAGACTACATTTACTAGTAATATTAGTTTGACCATAAGTGACGTTGCCAAGGTCAGGTCCAGATCAACGTTATTTTATAAATTAAAAACCTCTATTTTTTACTGTATCACCTTTTTCTAATACTTAATTTGAATAACATTTGTTTGAAATTTTTTTTATTTTGCCTGTGTAACTTTTTCAACATTTAGCTTGTACAATTTCGATAATTGTTTGTTGGACGGAAAAGTGATACGAGACTTTTTGACTTGATTTGACCTCAAGATTATGCTATTGCAATCGTACCCTAGGTTTTTTAAATATTTGTGTATCTCCTTAGAACTTTTGCGTAAACACAAGTAATTAAAACAGTTGAGGTACTATTGCAGCAGCATATTTTTTAGAACAAAAATCAAGTCAGAAAATCTAATTGTACCACTTTATTCTCAGACAAACAATTATCGAGATATTGTAAGTTAAATATTGAAAAACTTAACAATTTTTCCTTAATATCTCAAAAAGTACAAGGCAAATAAATAAATGTTTCTACAAATGTACAAATTAATTAGTAGAGGAAGATTGTATAATAAAAAATGGGGGTATTTATTTGAAAAATTAACAGTGATCTTAACATGATTTTGACGACTACACCTAAGGTAAAAGAAATATCACTGTGGCCGGTATTCATAGTCGGATGTTATATTTAAGACCGTCTTAAGTACTATCTTGAGATGTCATAAGCCAATCACAGATACGTATTAACATCTTAAGATGTTACTTAAGACAGTCTTGAAATAAGAATCGACCATGAATATCGGCCTATGTTATGTGTCACTTGCAACTCTTCAACTTTTGTGTAACATTTTTTGTATGTTATGCATATTTTCAGAAATAACAGCTGTAACACTTTAAAGTCTTGTGTTTACGATCCAAAAACTTGGCCCGAGATCTCGGACCAAGTTCTTGGATCGTGAACACAAGGGTTAAGTGCTCTATCTGTTATTGTATGTATGTATGTGTAAAGATATGTAAATATACACATATATACATATATACATATATACATACATACATACATACATACATACTACATATATATATATATATGTTAAAAAAGTATGTACCTGTAATTCTCTGTTTTGTTATTATTGGCCCTTGAATATTTGTCTCTGTTAATAAATTATCATCATAAGCGTAGTCATCTTTTGCACATTCTGAGGAAAATACAATTACAGACTATTAGAAATTATTATCCATAATATGTATGTTTAAAAAATATGTACCTGTAATTCTCTGTGTTATTGACTGTTGGATAGTTGTCTCAGGTAATAAATTGTCATCATAAACGCAGTCATCTTCTGCATATTCTGAGGAAAATACAATTATAGACATTCAAAATAATTATGCGTGTTCAAATTTATATTATAATTTATATATACACATAAAATATAATGTTATATATCTGAGTCTCTGTATTAGGATAAGAGCAATCTTCATCTGTATATTCTAAACAAAGAAACTTAAGAATATGTATTATTTACTAATTAAAAACAGTACATACATATATGCACACTAAAATTTCCGGAACAGCCAACTTTCTCTCAAAAAATATTTGTTTATTAAAAAAATGTTGCAAATAAAAGTTGGAGGGTTTAAAGGGGCCCAATAGATGATCTTATTAGACTTTGGGTCCGGGTTCCGTGTGTGGCCCTGTAAGGCCCAAGTAAAGTTTTTAAAATATAAACCTCTATTTTTATCATCCTTTTCTACTAATTAATTTGAATAACTTTTATCTGAAACATTATCCCAACAAACATATACTTTTTCAGATAATTAGCCGTTTCGAAACTTTTGGTACGCATATTATATAGATCCTTTCACTCCTCGCAGAACATAGGGCTTCCAAGGAGGTTTCAGTAATCGCTTTAAATTCAGATGTGCGGGTGATTAGCCCACAATATATTACTATATACCAAAATGTATAGACGTACCTTCAAGTATTTCTACTTCACATTCAGTTCGTATAAACATCTGTAAGAATTGCTGCAGTGATATTCTTCCAGTATCTAAGTTTATTTGTGCTTGTTCGATTTTTCTGTTTTTATAAGAATGACATTTTGTTTGTACTCGTTTTAAGGAGTGGCCAAGCTGAAGACGTTCATAATTTAGCGTCTGATTAACTATAAGATTGCTGACTCCATCTAAATAATATATTTGTTTGTGATTTTGTGTTACTGGATAGTATATTATTGTTACGTCCAGCGGACTCTACGATGTCCCTTTTTTGCGGGAATCCTTATACACCTAAGATAGCCTTAATATTAGATAAACAAGCCGAGTACGGACGGTTATCGATTGGGGCGAGGTTAGATCTCGCATTCCTTTTTTTTTATTACAACTATAACAGCTATTTGCCTAGGCGACGAAGCGACCCTCCGAAGTAAAATATTGACAGACGGGGCATACGTAATGGGATTTTTCTATCAAACTTGTCTAGCCCATAACTATAAACCCGGCGACAAGAC